ACAGTGTGCATGAATATGGTATAAAATCCATGTTCTTGTGTAACCATTATATGAAGATTTTTTTAAAAAATATTCCATTTTTAATTTTAATTTAAGGAATTGTGATAGATTGGCACACATTCAACTGCCCTTAGTTAAAGAAGTTTGTGAAAGGTTGAAAGGGCTCCTTTTATATATTATTTTGATGACACAAAAAGGCAGAGGGGCTAGGGTGGGTGGGAAGGTTGCAATTTTACTTTGTTTTTCTTGTTGTGTACCATTGAATCTGATCCGGCTGGCACAGGAGGAGATTGTCCCTCCTTCTCTGCATGCCTTTGGGATTGCAGCACAGCTTAAGTTTGCAATTTTAACACGATGACTGGAGAAATCCTTGATTTCTACCAAGCTTTTGCAGTTTGAGATTGATCAAACATAAAATCAAGACATGACAGTTGGTGACTGAAAAGTTGGAAACAAAGGAATGGTGGTTGTCTTGGCAACAGAAATGAGGCTGGAGATCGTATAAAAGAATTTTGTACAATCAATGGTTTATACATTGCAGATACTCTTAAAAATGGCGACTGTACACGTAGACTTCATCTAGTGGGCTACATACAGGAATCACACTGACTATATCTGTGCAAAGAGATTTTGGAGAAGCTCAACAAAAGCAGCCAAAACACTAGGTGCTGACTATGAAACAGACAAGCAGCTAAATTATTTATATGCAAGTTCAAACAGAAGGTAAAGAAATGAAAACAAGTTCATGAGCACCAAAACACGACCTTGAATCTATCTCAAATGAATTTTAAAAACCATCTCAAGAATACATTTGATGCACTGGACGCTAATGACGAAAAACCAAATAAAGCAAAAGATCTTTTCAAAGTCAAGGGACAAAGAAAAGAACAAAATAAGCCTTAGAAAAGACTCCAAAATTTACCCTAGAACTAAAAGAAGGCAAAAAAAGGGGGGAAAGGAATGTTAAGTAAGAGTTGAACAGGTTTATTTCGAAGCAGTTAGAGAAGACAAAGCGAAGTATTAAAAGGAAATGTGCAAAGAGCTGGAGTTAGAAAATCAAAAGGGGAAAACATGCCCAGCGTTTCTAAAGTGGAAAGATCTGAAGAACAAATTCAAGCCTCTAGGTGTAATGTTGTAGGATTTTATGGGCAAAATCTCGAATAATGCAGGAAGCATCAAAAGATGGAAGTCATTGTACCAAAAAAGTTGACACTGAACCATTTCAGGAAGTAGCACATTGTCAAGAACTAATAGTTGTTGTTATGTGCCATCAGTCGCTTGCGACTCATATGGACTCTATGTACAACAGCCCTAAACTCTGCTCTGTCCTGTGCCAATTGCACTGTCTCTGACACTCCCATCCCAATTAAGGCAGTCACTGAATCAATCCACCTCATAGAGGGTCTTCCCCTCCTGCGCTGTCCCTCCACTCTACCCAGCATGATGTCCCTCTC